AAATTTTGGCTTGCCACCAGTTAGTATATTTTTGTGACAATGGATTTGACATCACCTTTGTCTTGCACATGCAGTCCTATTGAACTAATAGTGAGCATTTATTCTTTGCAAGAGATGCCTGGAGATATTATATCCAGTTTATGTTGACTAAATGCTTTTGTTTGTTGTTGATTTAGCCTTTTTCTACAGTGTTTTGGTCCAGGAAATTACACTGTGACTAGAAAATTTTCTTCTGAAGAGGCTTTTATTTGTATGGAAAATCTAAATAATCTTGGCAAAAGGTTTTATCTGTGGTTTAAAAGCCATAGAATTGATACTATTTTGTAATATTACATCAATTCTCAATTACTACTAATTTACTAAGTGAAGGAAGTAGAAATCTCTCAATCCTAGCAGTGCCTAAGTTATATAATAATGCTTATGGATTACTAGTTGATTCAAAATTATTCTTTTTTTTTTTTAGCAAAATAGAAATTGAACTGTCTTTCTAATTAAACTGACTCTTCACATCCCAGAGTGACTATTTTTGTGTTGTAACCCAAGTAAAATAAGTATTTTAGCATTTGGATGCCTTTAGTGAACTAGTAATCATTTGGGCTTAAGAGATGCTGCTTCCTTTAATATACTGTATTAGTTAGAGGAATATTGATTTAAATTGTGTCCCGATGTTTTACTTACAGGACAGTGAAAGCAAATGCAGATTTCAGTTCTGTTGAGATAGGGTCATCCTTAGAAACTAAAAGTGCCAGAAGAAATGCGTCAGATAGTGTTTAAAAAAAAAAAAAAGAGCTGGACAAAAGGAATACGGGGGAACTCTGTTTTATCTCAAGTCGTTATTTCTTATATGTACTACGGTGACAGCTTTACTGCAGAATGATAACTGTACGATTGTCGCATAACATTGTTGGCTTATAAGGGCCCGTGATTGGGCCACCTCATAGCACTAAATACAAATGGTACAGCATTTATCCAGTGCGAAGTAATGTCTCTTGAGATTATGAGGATAAATGAGATAGTAAGTTTGAATTAGCTTTGAGCGTATACATGTATTTTAGTCTCATATTATCTCTGAGATAGAAGGATGGGTGAGCAGGGAGAGGTTATGGAGAGAGGTAATTTTTAACTCAATTATACATTACCAAATTGAAGCAAAATCACAAAATTGAATTCATAACAGAGCTTGAATTAGAAAAAAAAAAACTTGTATCTTAAACCTCTCTGCAGTTCTTCAAGTAGCAAGATGTCTTAAGTAATTTTGACAAATTTACCTCCTATTCTAAAACTTAAATAACATCATCATTGAAAGGAGCAAGAATACATGTGTCCTATTGATGAGTCTGACTTTAAGAAGACCTGGTATACAAAACCCTACATTATAAATATAATTTATAGAGTTGGTAAAGTAATTTCACTTTACCCTTCACAATTATTCTTTGCATTATGGACTTCCATTGAATAATGGAAAAAGTACATTTACTTAGCATTTCAAAAACACAATAAATTATATTATGGGTTTATTTTAAATGCAGTTTTACTCATAACCCTTTCAGTCCAGCTGAAAGTGATTTTTCCTCTTTTGTTCCTTAATTCCTTGTTTACCACAATCTTAAAACATTTAAATTGTCTGCTATTGTGGTTATTTATGTTTAAAATTTCTTATTCTATTGGATTGTTATATCCCATGTTTCCTTGTATACATTAAGTGCTTAATAAATATTTATTAAATAAACGAAGTTTCACCTATACTTGATCATTCAGTGATAATCAAGGCAAAAGGAGGGAGAAGTAAGACTCTCGCCCAGGGGACTTATGGGGGAAACATTTTCATTCCATATTTCCCCATCTCCCACTCACCAACAAGAATTGCTTCTTAGTGAGCCTCCATCTGCTGGAAGTGTATCATATTCCAAGTGTGTGTATGTGGTGTGTGTGAGAGAGAAAGGGAGATAGGGAATGAGAGAGGGAGAGATGAGTGGAGGGAGCAGCATAAAACCATGAGCAGGGGAAAAAGCAAAAGAATTACAGTGTAGAACAGAATTATCTGCCTGCATTTTGACGTTTCTAGTAGAGAAATATAGAAGAGAGTGCATTAGGCACACAAGAAGCAAACAAAAAAGATTTTATCATCAGAAATAGCTACCCTGATAGAATGATAACATAATTAAAGTAAAGCTTTTAGCAGTGAAGTCCTTCTCCATATTCTTGCTTACGAATGAGACATACACACTTCAAGTTTTTTGCAGACATCAACAGAAAAGTCTAAAACCAGGATCAGTGGTAATTGACAAAGTCTGTTTGGTAAGAAATTCGGAGATTGCGTATATGAATGTATGTATGTATAACAATGGCTCTGTTTCATGTTTATAGAATTCCATAAATCTCTTTGTTTGTTGCTACTGCATAACAGTGGTGGATAACAAAGACAGCTCTGATAAGGGGTTTTCTTATATAAGGTTCCTTTCCATCAGAATAAGTCCCTATCCATCTCAGAGTTGTTGCTTTCTTTACCTATTATATATCTGCTTTTTTTTTTCCTAGATATTTGTTCTGATGAGCCTAATCTTGTGTTAGAATATAAACTTTTTCTGTTTCTTGCTATCTCTCTCTTTTTTCCTGAATATTTTATGAACAAGATCCTTTGAATTTTGCAGACTTTTAAATATATTTTGGTTAAAAAAAAAAAAAAATGGGCTATAGCTCTGAGTCTTTTCAGTGTTTTGTCTAACTATTATCATTCCAAACAGCCATTCATTTTCTCTTATCACTCTCTGCCTTAGAGTCTTCCATTGGTTACGCATATATGTAGACCTTTTTCATTCCAGAACCAAACATAATAGACTTTTTTCCCTTTCTCTGTGTTATCTTTGACATTACAGAAAGATTTAATATATTCTGTCACCAGCTTACTTGGAGACACATTAAGACTCTTGAATTATACTTCATTTCATAAATTATCCTCTTTTCCTTAGACTTCAGTTCTTGAAACACTGGGTTCTAATTAAACTCTTTTCTCAAGAAATACAGATGTATTTTTTAATGTAAATGTGAGTCTTCAGCAAAAAAATCTACAGTTTGAAAACTAAAGATTGGATGTTTTAATTATTATATTCCTTTACTCTCTTTTTTCCTTAAAAAAATGAGAACTAATATGATATAATATGGAAAACTGGTTGTGAGGTATGTGGGATATCTGTATTAACTTTGTACTAATTCTGTACATCTCAAAGCAGTTCTAAAAGAAAATGTTTATTGAAAAATATATGAAGGACATTTTCATTCATATGAATTTCAGAAATATTCAGGGTTTTTTATTTCTTACAAATCATGAAATATCTAACAAATGTCAATAGTCTTTGCTCTCTTAACTATTGAATTAATAATAAAGCTTTGAATCAGCTTGAGACCATTATTTACTCCCAGATCCTTGTATAGTAAGAAAGTAAATGATGAATTGGTCTCCGGACATCAGACCCCCTCTGTTCCTCTCAAATATTCCGTGGCTGAAGTGGGGATCTTTATAGCCTGAGGAGTCTGTCCATGAGTTCAATCTCAAGTGAAGAGAATCAGCAACTCTAGAACTTGATTGAAGAAACAGCACTGATCATGTCTTGCTGAATTTTATCTGGGCTTTCTTGAATTCTTAAGGGCTCTAACTCTTTACAAGACTCTTGGTGATAGAGGTTTTTCTTTGATCTGAAAGGACTAGCCTGCAGTGGCACATCTGAATATGAAATATAATTCTGAAAGTAATTGTGTGTTGCATTTTCCCTTCTCAGCTTTTTCCCCCCCCCGAATCATTTTATAGCCTAATCATCCTAGCTTTTGTTTCTAGGGCTTTACTTGACACGACAACTATCACGATGACATGACAAGATGATATCCCTAGAAAATAGTTGTAGATTTGTGGCTTGGCAACTGCTTTATTAAAGGCAGTTAAATTGTTTATAAATTGAGAACTGATTACCTTGCTTATTGCTATGAGGAAGAAAAGATGCTGTTCCTGAAAGTACCTGTTCTTTCTCTCCCGGACCTGCAGACAGAACAGCTTGAAAGTTTTCTCAGGCTAAGGAGTTCTTGTCAAAACAGATTTTTGTTTGAAGAACTAAGCTGCCTAGGGTATTTACAAATAGCCCAAATGAAATACAATGGGGCTGAAACCTTAGAATGGGAAAAAAGAATTTTTCATATTTGCTTAACCCCACTGGACCCATTGTTAGATAATACAAATAATATTAAAGTGTTTTAACCACTTGCTAGTCATCTTATATCAAAGTTTGTAAATAAGAAAAAATGGATAGCCTGATTAAAAATTAGCATAACACATTCTCAATATATCTGATATAAAGCATGTTCTGCATTTTATTTTGAAAATTACCAGTAACATCAGTTTTGTTTTCTTAAAGTCCTATGACTGATATTTTTTAATGTTGAACTCAGATATCCTTTTACAGTATTCAGTGGCTTTACTTCCATAATGAAAAAGTCCATTTTGTTGGTGACATCTCAAAATCTGGAATAGGTAGAATTATTAGATAAATTATAGTTTTTCCTTTAAGATAATTTGAGTTTCATCTGTGAAGGTAATAAGCTCAGAATGCTGAAGTGCAGCTGGAGTAAACGAACTATTTTGCTCCTTTTATAAAGATTTCAATGTGTGCAACTTTGAATTCAAAGAGGATCATACTTGCATGTTCTGAGTGATAGAGAAGTGAAAGAGTATTTTTTTTTTAATGTAGCTGCTTAATTTCACATTTGTTGGTGATGTTTCTGAAGTAAGTGGTCTTTTTCCCTGCCATCTCCATCTACTTTCAAAGTATGCACATAAAATTTTCAGTGGATTCTTTGAAATCTAATCTTAAAAACTAACTTCCTTGCTTAATAAGATAATACTGGACTGGTCCTGGCTTATTATATTGATTTTTGACGTTTGCCACCTATAAAGAGAAGTTAACTTCTCCATACAGTTTATTGTCGCCTTTGTTTCTCTTCCTTACTGACAGAATCCCAAGGACTGCAGCAAAGCCAAGAAGCTGGTGTGTAACATCAACAAAGGCTGTGGCTATGGCTGTCAACTCCATCACGTGGTCTACTGCTTCATGATTGCATATGGCACCCAGCGAACACTCATCTTGGAATCTCACAATTGGCGCTATGCTACTGGAGGATGGGAAACTGTGTTTAGACCTGTAAGTGAGACCTGCACAGACAGATCTGGTGTCTCCACTGGACACTGGTCAGGTAAGAAGCTTGTGCAACTTGTCATCTCTCTGGGTTGAACTACTGTATAACCAAGTTACCGGATTTCTACTTAGAACCTTATGGATCATAGTATTTTTCTCTGCATTGTGAATATTATACATTATCCAGATAAAATCTGGAATAGTAATATTTTATTCACAAAGTGTTTCATGATAAATGTCTTATTTTTTTACCACACCACACAGCATGCAGGAATCTTAGTTCCCCAACCAGGAATTGAACCTGTGCCCTCTGCCATGGAAGTACGGAGTCCTAATCACTGGACTACCAGGGGATTCCCTCATGATCAGTTTCATTTCTAATGTTTATTTTTATCTGGATCTAGCAAAATCACTAAGTTTTTTCAAGGAACATAATTTATTCTTTCAATGATGATGATGTACCTTCTCTTTTTGGGGTGCTTTCACATTATTGTACTCATTTGATCCTCATAATTATAACATAGACTGCTGGTTCTCAGACTTCAGCATGCGTGAGAATTATCTGGAAAGCTGATTAAAATACTTTCTGATTCAGTAAGCCTGAGAAAGGGCCTGAAATTTGTATTTCTGACAAAGTTTCCAGGTTCAGGGACCATACCATAAGAACTACTTAGACAGTGTAGGTACCTTTATCTCCATTTTATAGTTGAGGACAATGAAGCCTAATTTGTTTATGTGATTTTAATTTTATTCAGGAAACATTTAATGAGGAATAATGTGTTTAAGGTAGAATGCTAGGCATGAGAAGAGATGCAAAGATGAGCAAGAAATTTCTCTCCAAGGACTTGGTGATAGAAGGGATAGAGTATAGATAGAGTTTCTTACCTCTAGTCTTTTATTTTTTCTACAATGATGATCTTTAAATAAGGTCCAAAGTTAGGCTGCCTTTGTTAAAATCTTTGCTGTATCTTTTTGTAATCTTGGGCAAGTAAAGTTAACCTAGGCCTTAATTTCCTCATCTGTAAAATGAAGAGTAGCAATTTACTTAGCTCTTTGAGTTGTTGATAGGATTAAATGCACTAATATGTATAACGCACTTAGCACAGTACCTGACATATGACCGCAAGTAATTGTTAGATGTCTTTAATAGCCTGTATTCATTGAGTGCCGACAGTGTGACATATATGGAACTAAGTGATTAGGTGAAGTGCGTAGTAAGTCAGTACGCTGTCTCTGCACTCACATCTTATAAGAAGTCCGGTATTTTCCAAAATGCTGAGGCATTTCAGTTAATATAATTTCTTATGGAGCTGAGCACCTTTTTCCACATGCTAAAACACTAGATGTGAAATGAGGAGCTATGTTATTGGCAAAGTGAGAACTTTAGTTCCTTTGTTTCTTTTTGCCTCCTTTGGGAAATACAGGTAATACTTCACAGAAATGTCAAGAAAGTTAATTGGGTAATTTCTTCTATAAAATGCTTTAAGTTGCTCTATAAAATGTCCTTTATGGATTTAAAGTATCATCTTATGATATGAATTTTGTCTTCTTTAGGAGCCTTATTCTGTATATCAGCGTTTGTTTTTTCTTTGTAGCTCACTTCAAATTTTAAAGTGAACCTCTTAATCTAAAACTTAGCTGAGCTCTAGTTTTGAGGTTTCCTCTTCCATTGATCGGCTTCTCAGGTCGCTCAGTGGTGAAGAATCTGCCTGCCAGTGCAGGAGACGCAGGAGACGTTCAGTGCCCTAGAGGAGGAGATGGCAACCCCCTCCAGCATTCTTGCCTGGAAACTCCCATGACAGAGGGGCCTGGCGGGCTTCAGTCCATGGAGTCACAGAGTCGGACATGCCTGAGCGACTGAACCCACACGCACTTCCATTGATCTGGTGTGCGGTTTATAGCTGGTACAAACAGATTAGGTGTCAAGGCTAGGGAGATAGAGGAAAAGCAACTCTTACCAGTCTCACTGTGGCTAACTTTTTCATTTTGTGTACTTAGTTCAGTTTCAAGCTGCTTTGATTGTGGAAGCATATAGCCTGCAAAGAATAAGTTTCACTGTTTCAAAGGAGAGGTAACTTTATGAGTAGCCGTCAGTTAATAAAAAAAGTGAAAAGTTAGCCTCACTAGACTTACCAATTTAGTATATAGGTTGGCCATGCCAGTATGCTACAAGTAGTTATTTGGTTTGTTTGATTGTAATCCGGAATCCTTATATATTTTGTAGTATGTAGTGGTAACTATAGAACATGAAGGTTAAAAATATAAAATATGGAGAAGGGAATGGCAACCCACTCCAACATTATTGCCTGGAGACATCCATGGACAGAGGAGCCTGGTGGCCTACAGTCCATGGGGTCACAAAGAATTGGTCACGACTGAGTGATTGAGACTTTCACTTTACTTTGAACAATACCTGTTATAGTAGACATGAAATTATTCAAAAAGAGTCAATTGTATTTTTATGCATCTGAAAAACAACAGTTAGAAAGTGTAATTACTTTTGCACAAAAAATATAATATTCTCAGGAATAATGATTAACAAAAGCTAAGGACGACTGTTAGTCTAGAAATTATAAAGTGCTATAGACAGCCAATAAAGATGAGCAAAATAAATGGAAGAAAATATATATATATATATATATATATTGTAAAGCAACTATATGCCAATAAAATATTTTTATGAAAAGGCTGGAATTTGAAACATTCAGAATTTCTTCATGTTACAGTTAAACAGACTCTCAAAATCATCCTTACTTTTTTATGTGGACTCTAAGACCTGGTAGATACTCAGTGGCTTATTCACAATCACACAGCTTATAAATGACAGAACTGTGATTAATACACTCACTCTACCTACCTCAAGTCTAAGTCCTTCCTAGTATGCTATTGTCAAATGCCTTACCTAGCAGAATAATGGTTAGAAGTGTAGAACGGTCTTTAATGTCTGGGAACTAAATAATATGATGAATTTAATAACTCTATTCTCTTTCCTCCCTCTATCCTGTAACTTTTCCTGAATCTTTCATATAATTTTAGGTACTGAAGAGTTACCAGTGGTATTTCCTTCTTAGTCATTTGCTGTCCCTGATTAAAGAAGTCATTTTATCATGGTATCATAGAATTATAATTTTAATTAAATATATCTTTGCTTTTTCACTACAGATACTGTATAAAATCATACATCTTTCTTCATGCTAATGAATTAACCTATGCCTGTTGGACACCTTTAATTAAACTAGTAGTTATTTTCAATGTTCTTTCAGAATTCATTATAAGTAAAATAATTTAGATGCTAATCTTATATCCAAAAGAAGAGGTTTATTTTAGAACTTGGAATACTTTAATTTTTATGAAAAGTATGATTGCCATCCGCCATCCACTTCTATGTCTGTTTATATATACTATCTATATATGTACCTTTTGGAGAAACCTATTTCTAGAATTAGAGAATTCAGAATGATTTAATAAGCTCTTTGACATTAGTCCTTCAGTTAACCATAAGTCAACTAAATCTTTTACTGTTCTGACTTGTACAAAGATTTTTAGGATATTATGACACGACTGCCGTGAATTTATTGCTGTTTGTACTCACTTGACACAATGTGCCTGCAGGTGGAATTTAGTGATTTCTGTGCAAATTTGTCACCAGTATAGGAATTAGTATGCACATTTGGTCATTTGAATAGCCGAAGCATAGCTTGTTGTAAGTTGAATTCTTTTTCTCCTTTATTTTTTTATATTTGTGTATGAAACCATATCCTTTGTAGTAAAATGCTGCTGTTTAATTGTGAAGTTGTTTCTGACTCTTTGTGACCCCATGGACTATAGCCTGCCAAGCTTCTCTGTGCGTGGGATTTCCCAGGCAAGATACTGCAGTGGGTTGCCATTTCCTTCTCCAAAAATTTGGTTTAGTGAAGAAAAATATAAAAATTATGCTCTCAATTGAAAATAATAATCTTTCCTTGTTACCTACAGCTGTCATGTCGGTTCCAAAGTTGTTGATCAAATGGTCAGTTATTTTTCTATATCCCAAAATGTTTCCTAAACCTGAACAAACTACATGTAGTAGGCTTGATTCTTCCATATAGATTCCTTATGATAATTTAGAATGGGAATCTTGGCATTTAATAGTTTGAAGTATCTTTCAATAGTAATTGATCTGTTAAGTTTTGTTGACCGTTTTAGGCTATGTATGATTACCAGTTTCCAAGATACTTTCTAGTTGCTGTTTACTCTTGAATACATTGATTTAGCAGTAGGGAACTTAAGCCATTTAAACTCAGTCCTCCATTATTTTTTTCCCTTCATATTCAGATTAGCAATTAAACCATTTGGGTGTTTTGCATTTCCTTCTCTTGTCTTTCATTGTGATAAATTGAACTGAATTACTTAGTTTGGTAAATTTAATTGAAAAACTTTCTTTTAAATGAAAATAATGACTAGTAAGAAACCATCCTTATAAATATGAAAAAATTTAATGCCCTAGAGGTATCTGATTTAAGTGTATGTTTAGATAGATTGCTGCTTGCTTGAAAAAGTTGGTTTAAAGCTCAACATTCAGAAAACTAAGATTATGGCATCCAGTCCCATTGCTTCATGGCAAATAGATGGGGAAACAGTGGAAACAGTGGCTGACTTTAGTTTTTGGGGCTCCAAAATCACTGCAGATGGTGACTGCAACCATGAAATTAAAAGACGCTTATTCCTTGGAAGGAAACTTAAGAGCAACCTAGACAGCATGTTAAAAAGCAGAGACATTACTTTGCCAACAAAGGTCCATCTAGTCAAGGCTATTGGTCATGTATGGACCTGAGAGTTGGACTATAAAGAAAGCTGAGCACCAAAGAATTGATGCTTTTGAACTGTGGTGTTGGAGAAGACTCTTGAGAGTCCCTTGGACTGCAAGGAGATCCAACTAGTCCGTCCTAAAGGAGATCAGTCCTGAGTGTTCATTGGAAGGACTGATATTGAAGCTGAAACTCCAATACTTTGGCCACCTGATGTGAAGAGCTGACTCATTTGAAAAGATCCTGATGCTGGGAAAGATGGAGGGCAAGA